GGCATGGCTCATAATGGTATCACATACCTATGAAATGATACATAATAGTAGAAAAGTAAACACAGAAAACATGAAGTTTTCACATTTCTCATTTCAACAATACAATATAATCAGCATTTTATAGCAGTTACAATTTTGTTATGAGCAAGTAAATTTTATTAATTATAATTCACTATCATACAAGTATCATTTTCTTACACATACACACACACACACACACACACACACACACACACGCACACACAATCTCAATAAGCTTTATTGGCTATCTGTCACTCTCTCACTCACACCATAATTATCAAATGCATAAATGTGGAAAAAAAATATCATAATTTCTGCATTCTCCAGTAGATAGATATGTCTCTAATAATGAATAATTCAGAATACAAAAATGTGCAAACAAACACAAATACATATAGGCTAATAGAATACAGAAATAGAATTTTTGTTACTGCTTACCTCTATTGCCAGATGCTGTTGCGTTTCTTCTCCCATTGCCCTCCGTTTCTTCGGGGGTGGTTCCTGTACAGGTCCCCTATACCCCTCATCCTCAACTAGAGAAGGAACGGAGTCCCTGATCCAAAACAAGTTTCACAAGTCACTGTCCACCCTGAAATTACTGTATCAGAAACTAACTTGCTGGAGATAGAAAGATAATTGTAATAAAACTGTATTAAAATATGTGCAATTATTGTGTTGGGCCTAGTCAATGTTATCTAAATTCATCACAAATAAATTCACTAGTCTAACATGGTGGCAAAATGGTGATATTTATAATAAGTTCTATTGTACTCAGCTATATGGTTTTATGTTTTTATTGTTAAGGCTAATATGCCCAATCATAGCCTACCTGATAGCCTGGATGCTGTGAGTGAACCTCTGGGTGATCCCTGCGATGAAGATAGAGTCTATGTTCCTCTTCTGAAGATGGTTAAACAGCATGTCTACATGTGGCATAACTTGTGGAATAACGCCAGAATGAAACAGAAAACCTCATCTTCCAACATTCTCATACAACCCCCGGCCTCTCTTTTCGATATGGCATCAAAGTCTCCACTGTCTCGAATGGTTTGGAAGCACTTAATCAGTTCAGTTTTGTGCTCGTAAACTGTGTTAACAGCACGACTATGGAAGTTCCATCGCGTTGTTGAAGTACCTGGAAGTCGGTGTGCCACCACTTCATCCAGCACTGCCGTTCGTTTGAACGACTTGGAAAAAAAGGCAGAAAACCCCCCAATGTCTGAAAAAAACTGACCGATCTTTGGGATGTGAGATGTTGCCTGCTGCATTATGAGGTTCAACTGATACGCGTAACAGTGAACGTAGTATGCACTCCCGTAGACGTCTTGCACTTTACGCTGCACTCCACCAGTAGCACCCCTCATCACTGTGGCACCATCATAGGCCTGGGCAATTAATTTTTTCTCTTGTCCCGCAGGAAGAATGGTGCTCAGCCTTTCCAATAACGCAGTGGCAATCGTATCAGCGGTCGCATTTGGAAGCGCAATAAACTCAAAAAAGCGTTCTTGAATGTTATTGTGACCATCTATGTACCGTAACACAAGCACGAGCTGACAATGAGTGCAGATGTCGGTTGTCTCGTCTGCCTGAATGGCAATATAGTCCGAGTGTTTCACCTCTTCCAGAATGCGGTCTCTGAGAACTGACAACATGCAGTCTAACAGTTCATTTTGCACGGTCTTCGAAGTGCCTTTAAAAACAGTAGCGTTCTCCAGGTGTACCTCCAACTCGCGGTCGATTGAGGCCATTAGATCAATTAGACCCAGGAAAATGCCAGGGTTTTCTGATGCGTCACTCTCATCGTGACCGCGCAAGGCAAGTTCAAAGGCACCACAAAATTTCACGGCATCAATGATCTTTGACAAAATATGCCGATTTCTGTCCACCTCCTCGTTGTGCCTTCTTATGGCAATGCGGTGTCCCTCATCTAACTGTGTGGCTATGTTAATTCGGCCTAACATGGCTAGCTTCAGAGAGTTGTCCATATGCACTCTTGTCCGCTCATGTTTCTTAATGCGTTCTGACATATGTTTCAGGTCTGTCACCCCTGTCTGTGTCCACGAGCTATCACAAGCACTTGTTTTAAAAAGTAAGCAAGGGAAGCAAAATAGTGCATTGGTGTAACCACAGCTAGTTAGCCAAGACTTTCGATCGAACCAACCTCTGGAAAATGTTCTTTTGTAGGTTTTCTCCTTTTCTCGCGCCTGTTGGGATATATTCACGTCTGGCTTGTCTGGTCCGAGTTCTTTTACAACGAGTTTTTCTGCTAAAGTTCTTCTTTCGAATGGATACAGCTGTAGAGATTTAACTGCATTTGGGGCAAGGTCAATTCCCACGACTAACTTTACACTATTTCCACTCGACGTCACTGGCACTGCCATTCTGCTGTCATCTGAGGTAAAAAAATGTCCCGCTAATCTGATACTGTGGGCGATATTTTCAGCGCCCCCAAACCATAAAATTTGACGACGCTGATTGGCGAAATATAAACTTTTTTGCATAGCAACCGGGGAACCATTGGCTTAAATTCCAGCACTGTGGGGCTGAGCGAACTGGCGCCCTGAGAAGACAGCCTATTGGCTATACTACTACACCAACATGATAAAAGTAACGAAAGTGAATGCAAATATCATTCTGGTGAGTTCAAAACACTTTTCAAAGTAAAACCATTATTAGCATATAATTAACACAGATTATTTTTTAAAATGATAAATTATAATATATATAAAAAAAAACAGACAGACAGGTCGGAGGGAGGGCGGCGCCCCAGCGCCCTCTATGGGCGAGCCGCCCCTGATAGCCAATTGCCTCTGTTTAGTGACTGAAGCTGACGACTTTGCGATCGTGAGACAGATTAAACAGAAGGCGTAAGAAGTTCAAAGCGACATAGCTTTCTAATATGAATGGGTAATATATAAGTAGAGTTTAAAAGTTTAAAAGATCCTTTCCACATAACCAGTGGATGCTGCGATACTTAAGATGTGGCTGATGATGGACAGCATGTTAGGCAGGTTAGCTACTTGAAAGAGAGCTACCCACCTGGCTAGCCTGACTACGTCAGACTTCCTACTTCCGCTAATGTCATTTGACTCATTTCACTCCTGTAGTCCGTCTCAGCAAGCCTATGTTTCAGTTTTCCACCCTGTCTGAAAACAGCCGGCCAATCAACGAACAGAGGGCGGGCTGAGAGCCGTGACATACGTAGATGCTAAGCGCCGAGTTTTACATTGTAGGTTAGAGAAATCGAAAACCGAAACAACCGCAGAAATGGGAAACAAGACACGGGATGCAATTCGCTCTGTTATGGAGAACATTCCGGGTTTTTTCAAAGTGAAGCAAAAGTCGTTTACAGCCATGTTCACTCCAGTGTTTCGCTCGCATCATCAAGTGTTTACAGCCAGGACCGGTGCATTATGTTCCCTGTAAATCATTTTTTACTGCATTATGATTTCTTAATTCAGAATATGATCAACATTGCGTAGGTGGATGTGATTGGGGAATTTGGCTGTTAAAATTATAACATTTAAAGCCACTTAAATAAACGAAATGACTCGAATGACTCAGAGAGTCAGTAAAATGAACTTCCTATTCATGACTCGCGAGAGCAGGGGCTCGGGCTCGCCGTCGCGGCGTTGCGGGGCGTCGGAAGCTAAATCAGTCATGACTCGTGAGAGCAGGGCACGCCGACGCTGCGGGGCGGCCGCAGCTCAGTAAAACATATCTAAGAGGTCATCATATTATAAAAATATCCTGTAAGTTTCAGAACTGAAAACGTCCTTATTAGTCCAATAAAAGCTTTTATTGACACCAGCCCCAGCAAACGACTCGTTTTTAAAAGTGGGGAACTATGACGACAAAGAGGATAAAACACCAACACCACAGAAGAAGATCCACTCCTACTAAAACACAGCCGGTTTAGCCCCGCCCACCAATTCTCGCATTACACGCAATCACGCATAGCTAAATAACATGGGCCTACCTCGTGATGACAAACCGGATTGAGTTACTGAGCGATACAGAATATAGTGCAGTGCCTGGTTGTGAAAGACGACAGTCGCTGCATAGGCTTCCTCTGGATTCCAATAGGACGGCAATCACGGCATGGATAAACTTTATTTTTAATGACGTTCCAGTTGATGAGGGTAAAACATCGTCTGTTCGCTTCATTTCACTGAGGATTGTCCTGTAAACAAGACTGGATTTGCAGACCGATTAAGAGTAAAGAACGGTGCTGTGCCGTCTATATTGGATCTGACAGGAATTGTGCAACACACGGACTTTGGGTCGAATCATTCCGGTTGCCATTTTACAACACTGGACGTTTCAAAACAATATCCCCCAAGTGCATCGACGGGACTCATTATAATATGCAAAACTGTTATCCACTCACAGCAGTGGGCGTTTACTTCCAAGTCTTTAGTGTGAGACACCCATTAAAATCCAGCGTTTTTCAGGAAGCTAAAAACTTGGATACAAAATAGCCTATTACTTATTCATTTGAATGTTTTTGAATGCAAAAACCAAGCGAACGTCATAAGTTGACCTCAGACAACAATATAATAAAATTTATAAAGCCAGTTCATGACCCCTTAAAATGCTGATATTTTAGGTTCTATGCAGTGTTGCCCCAATAGTTCTGTTAAAGCAGCGCTCAGTAAGACTGGGAACTTCTTTGCTGTTTTCTCGCAGGTTTCTCTCTCGAGCTCCCCCTACAGTTTCGTAGTATATATATATATGAGAAAACTGTCGCAAACTCGTTGTCAACTCCCCCCCTCCCATCTCGTTCAGGCCATGTGCATTTGTTTTCAGAGAAGCCGGCGAACATAGGCGTCATAGGCGAACGACAGGGTCGATTTTGTCCCCACCACTTTTGAAACATCTCGCGGCACAGATGTACCAATGCAAATAGATCATCTCCAGTTAACAGCATTCGTTTCATTTGTTTGTTAAATAACAGGCGATCTAGCACGGAAATGTGTTACCTTCTCTCAGAAACGCGCTTCAATCCGTGGCGGAGATTCTTTCCGGTGAAATCAGAAATCAAAATGCACACAAACGTGTCCCTTTTTCTCATGGGTTCTAATTCCGCTCTCGTATATTTTTTCCCCCCTCATCAAAACATTTACATGACTGATAAACATTATATCAATTCAACCACTGATAAAAATTATTGGTTTTGATGAGGGGCAAAAAAAAAACTATTCGAGTGTAGAATTCTACCTCTGGACGGACCATCACTGCTATCAAGGGCGTATATTTTCTATATACTCACTATACTCGGACATTGTGCTTATTTTTATTTATGTGCATCAGGAAGCTACAGGACATCGTCTTTCAAAACATGACCCTCTCGAAAGAGAAAAAAAGAATGAATGCGTTATTGTAGCCTACCCAGCACTTTTGAAAATGCCCTTCCGAATGCGTCTCTGTCCCCAGCACATTTCAAACCAAACTGACGCCCGAGCCATGTCCACTGAGGTATGTATGATTCTCAGAACAATATTATTATGTTGAGATAGTGTATATTTTTATTGTGTTACCAAACGTAATCAGTAACATTATGGTTAAAAATCAATACTATAAGAAATATTTCCGCTATTTATTTATTTTTAGTTTAGCCTACAGCTATAGCTACTTAGATTATGCATTATCAAAATAAATGTTACGTTACATTCTTCTATCATTTTTCTGGTGATCAGAGTTGTCTATCGTAACGATTGACCAAAGAAAGTCAAACACGTTTAATTTGTTTATTACAAGTTTGTTTATTTTATTATTGAAGCTTGAGACCGGTGGTACTGGTGGTCTGGAGTGCCCCTTACTCGGAGTTGATGACACTTGCCAACGCTTCCCAGACAGCAAACTGACATTGAATCAACG